ATGACACAAAAATTGTATGCTCCAAGAGGAGACTGTATAGCATGACACTATCATCATCAGGTTTACTGTATCCATAAATGGATATTAAATAGAAGAGTCTGAGATGTCCTTAATACAACAATCATGGTTGCCAGAGAGCATGAGGGAAATGGACTGCAAAAATTGGACAGACTCTTCCTAAATAGCATCTCCTAGTGCCACCACAGGAGACAGAATGCTGTGCTACATGGACCATTGGTCTAACTCAGCAGGGCATTGTAAATGTTCCTGAAATGTATACGTACAAACTAGGAGAACTAAAACACCTAAAAAGAGTGCTTTGACAGTCTTCTTGACATTCAGCTCAAAGAGGTTTATTTCTGTTACTTCCAAACTTTTTTCCCGAACACAATATGTTTTACCTCATGAAAACAAAATCTTCTTTTAACTATAAAAATAACGGATGTTCCCTCTATTTCCTAAGCATAAAAATACACTGAGAATGATAAAATATACTAGCTTACTTATGCGACTCACAAACTCAAATCCATCTCAAATATGGCATGCATAACTGTGTCTTTTGAAAATGGACTTAGACGCTTCTTAAAGTTCTACCTGATCTATGTAGGAAATGAACTATAAAAATACATTGCATTACAATTCTTGCCCTCTGGCTTACAGTAGCAAGTAAAAGCTGTGTTAAGATCTATCATTTACCTTGCTGTGTTATTTTCAGTCTTCACTCAGTCTTGACTAGGTTGTTCTTTGCACCACATCTCAGGCAAAGGCTGTGCCACTTGTTCTCCCCACCTGCCCTTGACCTATATGCTCACCTGCAGGGCCTGATCTGATTTACCTCTCTGTTCCATCTTCCATCAGCTGATTTCAAACTATCTCAGACCTATTCCCTTCTGAACTAGCATCTGGAGCAGAAAGAAAAGAAATAGCCTAAAGCACACCCTGCCTTAGCTGTGTCATCATGCTGACGTCTGCTGACATGAAACTGCTAAGCTGATTCATCCCAAGGATAATACTCAAGTGGATTCTTTTCAACACAGACTCAATAGGCCAATTTCTTCTGCCTGTGTCTCTGGACACATGTGACAAAGCTTAATACACCTGGCAAGAATCCTCTCCTCAGCAATATTCTTTATTATAAACATGATTAGAATGGCATCCATACAGGGCAGATGTGCAGCCTACAGAAAGAAGGTGATTTCTGAATTGAGTCAGAGGTACTGTTATTCCGAACAGATGTATTCCTGTTCCACATTCATTTCTGTAGGTGGTTTCCTTAAAAATGCTGAACTGAGAAAGTCAGGTTACTTTATTACCAAAAAAATGCTAATTGAAATAAAGCTAAAAGCTCTCGTATTATTAGTTTTCCTCCAGCTTTTAATTCTTTGTTAAAATTTGTATTCTACGCTTGTCTCAGATTTAGGTCTTCATCTGTTAAGATGAAAACAACATAGTAACTTTACTCTTCTCCTACGAATACTGTACTAGAGTGTCACACACAGAAAGTGTGTTATGCAAAACGGTTATTTATCCAAGTAATCATTATGTACATTTTTTAACTCATCAGATCTACATTGAAAGGTTAAATCAATTGACTATGTATCTCTTGATACTTTATTATATCAAAAAAGTATTTGTTTATTTTAACAGAAAAAAAAAAGAACAATAGCTCCTACTCTCTCAGAAGCATATTTCCACCTCACGGCACTGCAACTTCAAAATGCTTTAAAAGATCAATTAGGTAATCTGCATATTAGCACAAAGCCAAAGAAATACAACTAAGAAAATGAAATCCAAATGTTCAGTAGAAAATGATAAATTTCACCTTAAATTGGAAAAAAGATTTTTTTATGAAGACGTGCTACTGGGCAATTATTAAGTGAGGAAATTTGGAAGAAATGTCATTATTTACCCAGGATAATTCTGTAACAGATCATTTCCATCATTCGGAAGCAAGTAGTTTTGGCTTCTATAGACACAGAAACTGTCAGATGACTCATACCAATAGGTCAGCTCCAAATTCTATTTAGTTGTAGGTAAATATTTATTGATATTCATCTAGTTTAATGATTTCTAATCAGAGGACAATACCTTCAACCTGGATTGTGCATATCCAGCGCGTCTCTATTGACATACGCCTTAGAGTGAGCAGAAAATCAGTGTCAATTTTAGTTAAAAATGGAATGTCCAACTATCTTCTCTGAGAATTTGAAAGTACAGGTTCAACAAGTATCAAGTCACATAAGAACAGATTCATTTTGGAAAACAGAGATGGAAGGTTGGGCAGAATATCTCACACCAAGACTGCAATAATCTCATCATAAATCCATCCAAGGTCTTTTCCAGTATTCAAAATGGGTGATAACTTATGAGGTCTGATGATTTTATGATAATTCAAATATTTGGGACAAAAATCTCTCAAGAATCCTTTACAATATTGTAGGATAGTCTTTTTAGCTATTCGGTCAGCTTTGGCCTGAAAACTGTACCTCAGCCACTTACCTTAGCCTAGTTCAAACCTGATTATCCTCTTTCCTCCAAAAGCCAAACATGATCAAGTGCAACACAAAACAGCTACTGAAAACCTTGGGATATGTCAAAAATCATCATAATGTATATACTGAAAATGGTGTAAGAATTGAACAGTAGGTGAAAAGAAACCTGGTCACAATTTTTCTTTCCAGACTGGTTTGCTGTTGATACCTTGCATGGTACCTGTCTTAAAGAGCTGAGGATTTTTTTTTTTCCTCTATGAAAAAATGATTTAATAATATCTGCATATATATATATATATTCAAACACTCCACAGAGAAATTTTGTCAGTAAACTACAATGGTGGCTCTAAGCCCACTACTAAGCGTTGAGTTTTGCCACAAACCATTCCTAGTGGAATTTGATAAATATTCCCTCCAAAACCTTCTGCCCACAGCTCCCATCACAAAACACAAAAGCAGAGCACAGCAACAAGCTCTGCTCTCAATGCCCCACTGCTCATGTAAGCTCTTCCTTTCTTCTTTTTCCTGCAGCTTTGCAGGAATCCAGAATACCACAGTGCACAGTAGCCTGGATTTGATTCCCTGCTTTTCCTCCTTGATACCATTTTGCATTCAGCTGCTATGGAAGATGCTTCAGATTATACAAATTGCAGTGGCCTATGCTGTTTGTCTTTCCAGTCTTTGGGAACGTATCTTTTTTGAAAGAAGAAAATGAGAAAGATCCTCCTTGGTATCAAACTCTGCAAATCTAAATTTCAAGACTGGATTCTCCCTTCAGGGGAAGTAACAGCTCTGAAGTGAAAATGCTCTTTTATAATGAAATAAAATTTAAAAAGAATCCAAAGCTAAAGCAATGGAAACTGAGGTCTCTGTAAGCTAAAGTAAATATTCCTCACCACTTTTATGAATTTAGACACAAATATATTGTTAAAAAATCTCAAAACAAAACAGAATGGAGATGATGAAGATATCTTTATTCTTATAAACTGTAAATAGCTGCTGCGAAAAACTGCAACAGCCCTGTAAAGCTGCATACAAGCTGAAAGGAAGGTGACACTTGAACAAAGGAATCTGTTTCACAACAGTCGTCTTTCACAGATTCTTTTCATAAAAGGAAAGCTTCAACAAATTCACCAGTGGCATTTATTTTTCTACTTACGCATATCTACACGTACACACACCAGCTGAAATCCATTGCATTCAAAGATCTACATGTGCAGTGACAGAAAGCATCCAAGACTATTCCCCACACTCCATACTAGCACTTGCCCAAGTACAGCTTGCCATGCGAAGAGTAAATATAAAACTTATACTCCAGATGTAGGTTTCTGTTTTCCATATTAAGAAAATAAATCCATGTGAAATACAAAAGTTAAAATACAAACACTTGACTCTTTCCTCACAGTCTGTTCCATCCTGGTTGTTCAGAACCCATCCTTTACAGGCCAGAAGTTTCACAGATGGAGTTTCAAATGCCCAGCAGACACAACAGAAGCTCAATTGCCAAAGACGCTCTCTCCACAAAGAGCTGACATCTTTTGATGTCAGTCTAACCTAATCATTTATTATGATTTCCAATGCAAACTACTCTTAGAAACATCTTCCCAATGCAAGACAGAAGAACTTGAAAAAGCTTTTGGAACTTAAGCAAGTTTTAGAACTTGTTTCTAGGATTAGATACCATTATATCATTGAGATATTTGGCAGGAGATTTGCATTCACTTAGCTGACAAATCATAAAATAAAACCAATTCTTCAATCTCAACCTTATCAAACACTGATCAAATATCAGCAAGAGCCTTGATTGTTATGAAAGGTACACTATTCCTGTCAGAGAGATTCTTCTTCATTTTCCTCTGGGGAGAGGAGGAAGTTTCTACAGAATAGGTTACAGTGAATCTATGAAAACAGTAATGATCAAGCTCTTTGCTCCTAGATTAGTTAAAACTAAAGACTGAAACATACAAATTACAGGCCTTACCCTGCTCTGACTATTTGAGGAAATCCTGCTGTTTTCAACAGTATTGGAGCAGTAGCCTGTTTTTATAAGCTTATTTATCTATTTGTGCATTTACTTGCATGAAAAGAAATTCAATTAACTAATTTTTATAATTTCATTTAGAAAAAAAAATCATCACAGTGGTTTCTTTAACTGTTACATCATATCTTAGTCATATTTAAAGAAATGCTATCAGAGGAAGATTCCCATGACAAGCCTTTCACCAAAGAAAGATTTTTAGGTAGCAAATCCTATGAAGTCCTATAAGAATTTATATTCTAATTCTGAAGGCACAGCACTATCAGTATAATATCAAAATAAGAATGCTGAACTCAGAGCACACCATTAATTCAGAATGCTGAAAAGACTAGGCAACAGCATTTATCACTTCACATACAACCACTCTAAGGAAAAACATCAAAGAAATGACTTGCATCTCATTCATTGAGTTTATACTCAACATAGGAATGCCAACTGGAAGAAACCTCTTATTTTTCTGAATTATTTACCTCAAGAACTAGCCACAGCTGGTCTCCATTTTTCACATCTTTCTTATAGTACATGCCGTAGAATTTGACTACATTGGGATGATCAGAGAGAGCTTTCAAAATGTTGTACTCAGCTTCAATTTCTTCATCAATATCCTAGTGTCACAAATGAGAAATACATAGCAGTTAATAGACAAATAACTGTAGCCATTTAAAAAAAAAAAAACAACGCACAGCATTTTCTGGCTGTTCCAATGGAGTTTGAAATGACGCAAAGAAAAAATCAAACAGAACATGAATGTACTACCATTTGCTGGGCTCCAAAGCTTGGTTCTGTTTACTCAATACAAAACAAACATCTGGTTTTTTAACCTGGTCTTTATCAGTTTCAACTAATGGACACACGGGGTATGACAGAGCAGCCCTCACGAGAACAGGGAAGGAGCATTTCGAGGCAAAGCCGCTGCAATCCCCACGTGGGTAGGTATGCAGATGCCTTGGGAGGTCACACGTTATTTCTCTAGTCTCAAGGGTATCCCCAGCTAGAGATGGTGCAACTTGAATTACCTCTCCCCTCCTCTGTGCACAAACAAGTACGACTCCAGCCACATCGTACTCATTTATCATCCCACTTTCTAGAATTATCTGGGAATTTTTCTCATTTTCTACTATCACAGAAATTGGTAACACCCATAATCTCTCTGGCTTCTCCTCCTGAGCTATGAGTTGGGACTTTTTGTCAGTCTTTCGTTGCAGACCTGGGGTTTCTGACACAGCGAGGGAAATTCATTTGGAGGCGAGAGATGAGGGCAAGTTTTGCCAACACATGTGCCAGGAGCTGCGCAAGCCCTTTCAGACCAAACATGGATTATGGCAACAGTGGGCACTGGATGACTCAGATAAACCCTTCCACCTATGCACTGGAATCGCTCATCGAGGGACATTATCAGACTGTGTTTCAGTCATGCTGAGAAAATATTCAATCCATCCTGACAACAGGTAAAGGCAAAATAGCTGAAATAATTTTCCTCCATTGTTGAGATCTCAAAAACATGTTAACATGTTTGTTTCCAAATTTAAAACATTTTTTAAAAAATTTTCTATTTATATCCACCCAAAATGAAAAATCAATTCCAGAAGGCTACCTATGAACTCCATTATCCATATGAATGGATATCATGTCAATGAAAAGCATCTACTCAGTGCCAAAAACCTGTCTCACCACTGCCAAATACAAGTGACCATGGCAGAGAAAAGGGACACTTTGTATTCCCAATGAATGACACTCCTCATTTTGTTCACCAACAGCACCTACCCCTAAGAGGGCTTTGCTCACTTGTTTCTTATACACGTCTCTCCAATGCTAAATCCAACTCAAGTTCCTCATATTAGTCTTTTGTCTTGAGACCAGTTTGACTAGTCTCAAAGAGCTTTGCCTGTCACCAGTATCTTCAGGAACTGGGCCATTAAACTTTCATACTGAGATTACAAGAATAAGTCTTCTAACAAGGAAGGGTTTTAAAGATTTTGTTATTGGAGCAGCCAAAAAACAGCAGAAATTTTCTTCTTTCAAAAAAAAAGGAGGAACTCACTTTAAGTTAATTTTCCCATAAGCAGAATACAGAATATAAAAAAAAGAGATCCAAGGAAGGAAGAACGAACCAATGCACTGATAGTGGCAGAGAAAGGAAAAGAAAAGAGTGGAAGATAATAAGGAATGAAGAGAGAAAATGCATCTAGCAAAAATAAAAAGACAGATCATAACGCAAAAAAAAAACCCACAAACCCACCAAAATACTGAAGAGTTGAAAGTCAAAAAACTACACACAAAATATACAACAGGCCTGGCTGCCTTGGGGAAACTGGAAGAGAATTAGCCCACTGTCCTACTGTGATTTAATAGACGTTTCCGTCTCTTGAGGGGTACTCAGATTTTATGAGATTTTTACTATTATAAGGAGAAATGAAAAGAGAGAGAATGAAATGAATATTCATTCTGTGCACACTAAAAAGAAAAATCTTCTTCTATATTTTATGAAGGAAGAAAACTTGAAATATTTGGTTGAATTTAACATGCTTACCTGCATAAGAGTACCTCTTTTAGCAACGGTAGAGAGAATATTTTCATGTGAACTTAGACATAGTATAATTTGGCTGAGCCCTAAAGTACAATGGTATTTACTTATAGTCCTCATGACAAGACTAAGAGCATTCTCAATTCCATCATCATATATTCTCATTTCAACACCTTCACTTTCCTGTTTCTATGCCAAAAAGCTTAACTGATATTCAACATAAGGAATTTGAGAGATCTAAAGGATTAAACATGAAATGCTTATTTCAGTTTTACGTCACCCACGATAGTGTAGTTTCTCAACTTAATTTGGAAACATCAGTTAAACCAAGTGATATAAAAACACATTTCTTCTGCTTGTTTTTTCAATCCACCTCCCAAGTGGCACAATTCTGAAACCATCTTCAAAGAAAAAATTGTAAAATTTAAAGAAGAAAATACAGAAAGTATCTTTTTCTTCATTGCAATGGCTCCCTCTGCAGCCATTAATAATACTTTCAGTTTAAATAAAAAGAACTAGTTCATTGCTTTCACCCTATTTCTAATATAGGATTGCCATTTGAACAGTAACACGGAGGTACAGTAGCTACTTCAGACATTTCGTAGACAGGAGGGGGAAAAGAAGAATAGCATTCTTAGAATAAAAAGGAGAATATATTCAGTTAAAAGATTCAAGTCCTGGTGTGCGATGTTGACTGCATTACTGACTTCCATTTTTTAATTAAAATAAGGAATTTGTTTTCATCAGTTATATCTTTTCCCTTCTTCCATTTCTTATGTTGCACTTTTATCCATTTTACTACTTCTGTCTTCTTTACGTTCTACTCCCTTATTTCCTACTTAATCTATTTCTCTTTCCTCTAGCATCAGCTCTACTACCTCTTCTTTCTTCCTGTCATCATCCTTTACCCTTTTCCTACAACCTCCAAAGTGTACACCATGTCAAAAGTTTCCCCAGTGCCTTCAGTAATCCCTGCTATAGCCAGTTGCCACTTAAGAATCATTCCTGAACACTTGTGAAAAGAGATGAAAGCAGAAGCATTTCATGCCATACAGGCATTTAGACGAACATCATCTGCAAGAAAGTCCTGCCTATTCATTGTAAGCACGAGAACCTTGTTTACAGAAAGCAACAGAGTCAAAAATAGTTTCCAGCGCATTTGAATTCATTAAGATCCTTATCACTTGGCTGCATTTGGGAGAGGTACATGATATTGAATTGAGATGAGCTTCCTTTCGTTGCTTTGAAAGCACACTGAAATAAAAAGCACATCAACAAGAAACACAGCAAAGATAATGCAAGATGCTATGTTTTCACAAACACATTTCATGGACTTAGGGGCCATGGGATGGTAATTTGACACTATGACACGCAAGGGTAGAGGGAGCCCTGCATTGCTGTGCAGCTCCAAACCTGCAGCGTTTGGCATGGCGTCCTCCTCCCTTCCTGCCTGGAGGTCATGCAATGGAAGCACATCTCACAACCTGCTACTGTGAGTGCAAAAGATGAGCTCCAAGGGGCCACATGAAGCAGGAACAGCACCTTATCCACGTTTTGCAGGTTACTGTTCTCAAGAAAAATCCCAAGCCACAAGCAGCATTGCTGAAGTCAGTGGAGTCTGCCTTTACAAACCAGACTAATGTTCTTCCTTACTTTTTGAGCATTAATCTGCCACCCAACAAATGCCAGTTATTGAGAAAAAAAACATACTCTACAACATAATAATTCCGCCCCCTGTCACCTAGTGCTTTGTATGTAGGAGCTATTGCCTTTGAATTTTCCATCTGAAAAGATGGTTCCCTCTGTGATATCTACGTATTTTGGCACATTCTGAAAACGCAGAACCAACAATAACAACAAAATAAAGTATGCTATTTTATTTTTAAAGTATCACTCATAGCACGTAACTCAGCTAAAATAGATGCTTGAAGGTACACCTGAAGCACTTAAAAGCATGTAAATGTCTTACTGGGTAGTATTTTTTTTTAAAAAAAAGGAAAGTAAAAATAGAAGAAAGAAGCAGATAGGACTCCTGGTACTTAAAAGGAAAATAATCAGCTCTCCTTCTGAAAGTAAGAGATAAACAAGGGGGAACCAAAAGTAAAAGTATCAAAGTTCAGGTAAATATACTTCTTTCTACCACATGCAACCACTTCCAACATTGCTTATGATGTGTGAAATGCATTGATAGCTAGCCTGATACTTAGCAGGTTGAAGCCATTTATTTCACTACCACTTCTAACGCAAATGATCTGCCAAGATTATGAGAAAAAAGACTACACAAATTCACTTACAATTAAATAAGCACAAACCAAGTAATTTAAGTATCTTACGTGAACAGGATCCAAAATTTTGACTGCTGCTTTGCTGCCATTTTTCTTATTTAACACCTTGAAAACTTTTCCATATGTTCCTTTGCCAATCGTCTCAATTATCTCCCAGGTATCTGAAGGATCAGGAAAGCTATCAAATATTATTGTTTTCCCAGTCAATGGAAGCATCTCAAACGATGGCTCCTAGGAAGAAGAGATTTCAATGTTCACTCAACAAATGATTAATAGCAACTGGCTTCCTACAAATGCGAAGAGAAACACACATTCCAGTCTCAAACACTAGAATTGTTTTTGCATGTAGCGTGCGTGCACTGAAAGCATAATGAACAAGAAATGCTGCACTTCATATAGGTACATGCAGTCAACACAGTATCAAATGAAGGGAAATTCAAATAATAATTTGAACTAATTTCAGGCTTGAGTGAAGTCAGTAGAAGCTTTCCCATGCACTTCAGTGAAATTGTATTGTCACTCAGGGGTTTTTTTGAGGGGCAGAGGAACGGGAGTCAAGCTCATAAAATCCAAAAGAATCTGGCTCCATTACCAGGAACCAGGCAAGAAGGCAAAAAAAAAAAAAACACAAAACAGAACATGTTAAATAGTAGCATTAGGTTCATTCAGACTTTTACAGCAAACTGTCACTTTTATAATCCTACTCATACTATTTGAATTTTTATATAGATCTCAAAAGGCCAAGCAGATCTAAGTGGTGGACCTTTTCACAATATTATGGTCTTCCAACAGCCAAGCATTTCCAGTCGTGGAAAACATGTTTACTGATGTATATTCATTAACGACTGTTTTACATACTGTAAAGGAAACATCTGTTACAATGACGGAATTGTATCCATCACTGCCCAGGTTACACCTATGCCTTGGTGAGGGATACAATTCACTTACACATGCCTTCATAGCGACTAACTATCCAGCAGCTACAGTGGTAAAAATAAAGCACACACACACACCCACCAACAAACAACAACAAAACAGAAACCCCACCTTTACCCATTGTTAAGAACAGCCAAAAACTCATTAGAAATGTGTTAAACATTGCATTCTCATCTTCTTAATCATAGAGCCAAGACTGAAAAAGAGTAGTGGCAGGGAAGAGGACAGACTCAAGCCCTTATGAATTAAGGAAGCAATAATTAAGCGAGCCAGCTACTGAGTGCTTAAACCCTTCTTGAACACAATATGCTGCAAACGAGCCAAGCTGGAGAGTCATTTTCATACATCCATTTTTAAAATTTGTATATAATACTTTATAAACAGACTACAATGTAATTATTCTCTAATTTTTACATCAACAGCACGAATCCACACGCATAAAGCATTTTATATGACAGTACTCCGGTGACTAATTATACCATGATACCTTCTTTTTTTTTGATAATGAAAAGAATGGCTTCAATTTCTGTTTCATCCATGGCTTCCAGCATACTAGCCATATTTTCTTTATTCATCTGCTTATTCATTCAACCATGTACATCGCACTACACATGCAGCATGTACATTCACTGTACATACAGTATGTATACCAACTAGGAGCAACTGAAACAGACTGCTATACAAACATATGCTGTACCAGCTCTTTCAATTATCTGACATGCATGCTGGCACGTCACGTGTGTTCAGACTAATTTTCTACTGGATAACACAAGATTGCCTGGGGAACACAGCACTCAGGATTCTTCCCATCATTCTGCTCTTGGTTGATTAGATCACTGATGAGTGGGAAGACAGAGCTTTCTTCTCTCTCTTTTTAAAAAAAAAATATATATATACATGACTGCTACAAACTTCTGTACTCGCTCATATCCTCTTAACACCAGGAAACCTGCAGCAGCCTGTTGCATACCAAGGACTGCAACCACTACTGGTCCACTATCTTGACTTCAAGGGCCATGGGAACAAAATGATGCAATTTTACCTGCTACAATGAAATCTCCCTTCGCAAATCCAGGTTAAGGTCAAAGTAAAGACAGAGGATCAAGATCCAGAGTCATGTAGCTGTAATATGTAAATCCTCAAATTTCCATTCCAGATTCAAAATTTGCTCTTTCCTTCTGTCCAACCATCCCCCTGGGATTCATATAGCCACAACTCAGCCAGGACATTGACTCTTCCTAAGGCATCACCTTTCCACTTCATGCCTAGTATTTATCCATGCCTTGGGCGCTTCACCATTTCCAGGCAAAGCCATCTCTTCTCCAGAAAATGAACACAAACAAGTTACAACATTTTTTTTTTAACTTTCTTTTTCTTTTGCGTATAAAATACTACTCAAATACAATCACTCTGGGTTTTGTTTTGGTTTGGTTTTTTTAAAAATTACTTTATACATATATAAAAATGCTTTGTAATTAGCTCATAATTGGAACTGCACAAAATAATAACCAAATCAGGGATGATAAAGGGATCAGGATTCATAATCCTAAACCCTTGCTTTGAGGGATTCAACAATGATGGAATTTCAAAATTTCTCTATCTGAGCTTTAGTTTTTAGATTTGAGGTTATCTATTTTTTTCACGTTTTACTGGATATTCAATCCATAACTAGTGATTTTTCGGGAGGAAAAAAAAGTAGAGAGCTATCAATGGGCACCTTCATAAGAAGTGAGATGTCCAAATCATACTGGAGCCTGTCTACATAAAAATTATTTTCTACAGAATATGTAGTTTTCCATCAAAATCTAGGGTCTGCTATGTCCCTTGTCTTGTATGTTACAAGAACACACAATAAGAGCCTCTGACCCAGGCAGCTGACAGTAGGAGACATGAAGAAGTTGAAAAAAGAAGACTCAATTCCTTCCCTTCAAAGACAAGTACTCAAGGCGGAGGAATGCAAAGACCAGCTTCACATATTTAACCTGTGTCAGAGCCAAGCAGGGAACTCTGATACCTTAAGTCTCCAAATATACCCTTAAGCAAAGGTCGACCCCTCTGTGCAGAGGTTTTACAGCAAGTAGAACATTCTAAGAGAAACCACGTACATCAAAACCTACAGCTTCAGACAGCTTCCCAGGCTTTATTAACTTCCTATACATTAACAGAATGCAGATGAAACTCACTGACTCCCAGTATCAATTGCTTATTTATCTGCGGAGACTAGTACAAGGAGAACTGGTAAAAGACTGAGGAAACATGATCCTGCAGATGCTATTTGGCTACCAGAGGAGAGTGCTGGAGACACTCATATGCTTGCCTTTTCCTCTGCAAATCACACCAGTTGCACATCATCTTGTCTTAGGAAAAGTCACCACACGCTTAACAATAATGCATTCAATAGCTGTCATACTTAGTTCAATAATTTAAGAACGCTATTCCAGACAAATATATTCACCCCATTCCTTTGTCTTTTGATTTACAGCTTCAGAATCATTACTTGAATTAGTTACATTGAACATCATATTTCCTCGCTTCCACCATGTTTAAGGACAAGCCCCTGCAGATAAATTGTTTAGCTTCCACTTCTATTATTAAAAATATATTAAATAGAATTATTTCAATTGTTCTGTTCTGGGTGATGAATAATGTTTTATTACATCTCAGTGAAGCTCAGATAGCTGATAATGATTTAACCTCATATTTCAGCAATAAATTGGACTGTCTCGGGAATATGTCTGGATGCCCAAACAACTGGGTAATTTATCATACCCCTCACCGTTACGAATTTACTATAAAAACCTCAACTTACAACTTGACCCAAATTTCTGAGCTAGGAGCGTACCCTTGAAGCTCTATAAAAACCCCTTAAAATACTTGTGGTGTGTTCAGTGTGACTGTCTACTCCACTCCTGCTTAGACTCTGCCTAACAGGGCTCCTGCTAAGGCCTGATGCTTGTGGGGAGCAGCACCATCAGGTCAAAGGAGAGCCCGCCGAGGCAGGGCAGGTGGCCAGAAAGAGCTGAAGGGCCGTTATGCACCACTAGCTCCTGCAAATTGCTGGCTCCTGCAGCCAGTATCTTTTGTCTGGCAGTTTCCTCAGAATCTACTAACTAAACCTCCAAGCCAGAAGGTATAAAACATCAATTCACCCAAAAAGCATCTGAAGCGGACCCAGCAGCAGCCGGACGCCTGAGGCTCTCCTGCTTCGCAGTGTGATAGACGGGACTCCCGCATCATGATGGAGGAGGAAGGATGAACACTCTCACCCCTGGTTAGGCATTTTTTTTTTTTCCTTCTGTCATAGGTGGAGAATTAAGAATTAACCATAAATTAAGAATTGTGGGTTCTAAGTTATGAAACCTTATGACCTGAATGGTGAATAAGTCAACTCACATGACAGAGTGGTCTGGCGAAACGGGGACTGAGCCCCTGTTTGGCTTATTTGTTTACTGTACTTCTTAATGAGCTCATGAAATAAAGTTTTGATCGTAGAGATCAAATCAAGATCCTGTAAATCCGAGAGATCCAAACACACCGTGTCACTTACAGCAATTAAATTCAGATAGAAAAATATAGTTTTGGAGTTCTAAGACAATAAGTGAATGTGGTTGGGTTTTTTGGTTTGTTCAGCTGTTTGTTTTTTTTCCTAAGAGGCGATCTGGTGTCAGTCATCTGGCTGCCACAGTTAAAATAATAAAATTAGTGAGAATTTTTATGGGCTAGCCTGATGTGATTTTTCACCTCCTAGGTCACATTAAACATACACATCCTATGCAGCAGACCTCAGGTCATGTACTAGAGCTGTATCCTGTTCAGCATCAATGTTGGCAGACTGCTGCATTCTCCATCATTTTCAGTATCTAGCCACTTTGGAGAGGGAAGCAGAAGGGAAGGGGCACCCTCAAGAAGAGCACAGTATAACTCTTCTAGACTACCTGATTGCTGCAAAGGCAATTCAATAAAGCACATGTACCACATCCAAAACTTAAGAGACATAGCAGAGTAGAGAAAGCTTGCAGCCCAGAAAGCCAACTGTATCCTGCGCTGCATCCAAAGAAGAGTGGCCAGCAGGTCATGGGAGGTGATTCTGCCTCCTCTACTCTGCTCTTGTGAGATCCCACCTGCAGTACTGCATTCAGCTCTGGAGTCCCCAACACAAGACAGACATGGAGCTGCTGGAGCAAGTCCAGAGGAGGGCCACGAAGATGATCCGAGAGCTGGAGCATCTCTCCTATGCAGACAGGCTGAGAGTGTCGGGGTTGTTCAGCCTGGAGAAGAGAAGGCTCCGGGGACACCTAGCAGCTTTCCAGCACCTCAAGGAGGCCTACAAGAAAGTTGGAGAGGGACTTTTTGCAAGGGTGTGTAGTGATAGGACAAGGGGCAATGGATTTAAACTGAAAGAGAGCAGATTTAGGTTAGATATAAGAAAGAAATTCTTTACATTGAGGCTTGTGAGGTACTGGAACAGGGTGCCCAGAGAAGTTGTGGATGCCTCATCCCTGGAGGTGTTCAAGGCCATGTTGGATGAGGCTTTGAGCAACCTGGTGTAGTGGAGGGTGTACCTGTCCATGGCAGGGGGGTTGGAACTAGATGATCTTTAAGGTTGCTTTCAACCCAAACCATTCTACGATTCATGCAGCATACTATCTCATTCAAAGAATAAGTTTTATATTAGAAATTCCAATAACACCTCCACTTAATTCTGGGGGATATTTGGCCTCTGGTTTTGATGATGATACAATCTATAGCTGAATGAGAACTACAGACAAATCTAAGCTCACTGTGAGCACATTATCAAAATCAACAACCTTCTTTAATACACTTCTTTCACTGTTGTGTGCTTACTCTAGTAAGAAAGACTCAAGAGCTGGGATTCACCTAACTTGATATGTGTATAGTATACCGATTGGAACCTAAGATAGATACTATAATCCCATTTTAGTCAGTTGAAGCAATCAAAAACTGATTTACCTGACCTGGTTAGCATCTACCTTAGCGTAAGACACTCGCTCTATTGCTGGCTA